TTATTCTCCGGCACTGATAACGATATATATTTTTACTGAAACCACGTCGAAACGTTGCAATTAACTTTGCCCAGCGATTGATGTTCAATAAAGCTGCCTTAACAACATATGTGTCGACCAAAGTAAAAGCTATATAGAAATAAGCTCGATCCGTTTTCGAATCTTGAGTTAAATTTCAAATGAAATGTAGTTTTATGTCCTATTTGTCTTACAGGGCTAATGAAAATGCATGGATAATGAGGAAATTGTAAAACGTTTTCTTAACTTTTTAACTTTCGGGGACACTGTGATATTAAAACTAAGCGTTTTATTGAGTACATCGCAGAGTCCGTTAGATGTCAAAAGCAGCTTTTGATTTCAGAGAGGGACACTTTTTAGCTAAGCCAATCAGTAATGATGTTCACAACCAACCGTCGAAATTTGAGCATTCAAATCCATGTGTGTCCAAAATTATCTGCGTTTGAATGCTATAATGACGACTCGTCATTGATATATAGAAAAGGCATTTAGAAATAGTGAGTAAAATTTCTAGTTTGAAGTATTTCATAAGGAATTCTGCAATGTTTGTACATTTCTAGTACTTCTGAAGACTTTTTACATATATTCAAGACTAAAATCAAAAAAACCCGCATCTGGCCCTTTAAGTTAGATCTGCGAGATACATAGATACGTATACGTATACACTCAGATATGTAAGCGAAGTTTGCTGACTCCTCCGGAAGGGTTTAAATAATGAACTACGTCACTGCACTAATTGGTTAATTAATATCCAGTAGGTTACAACTCGTTATCAGATTATCTGAATACATTAACCCTTGTGACGTGAAAACATTAGAATATATTATGTTGTTTTACATCTACATCTTAATCTATAGGGTGCGGGTCACACGACATATACAAATATATTAAAGGGACAGATTCGCCATCCGTTTGACCAATCGTACCTTAGTCTCAGAATCAGGAATTATTTAGCCAAGCTAATCATTAATAGTGTTCACAGCTCATCATCGTAATTTGAGCCTTCAAATCCATGTGTATCCAGAGTTATCCGCGTAAGAAAGTTAAAAAGACGACTCGTCTTTTCTTGAGACTCTGTTATATGCCTATAAAAAGCCATATATATATATAGATATAGACAGTGAAATTCCTAGTTTGAGGAAATTTTGTGCAATTCTGGTACATTTCTAGAAATTTTGAAGACTATTTATATATATTCAAGATCCAAATCAACCCCCTTAAATGACGAACCTGTCCCTTTAAATTTATGTAGACTTAACTTAGTACATTATTTTAAACATTCTACGTGAAACCCTACGTCATTCACACAAAATATTGTTTTGTACTGAAAATCTGAAGTTGTAAATTAAACGAAGACGTTTTACAAGACAAATTACAAGACGAAGTCAAAAGATCAGAATATATATTAAAGTTGTTTTGAAATATATCTGAGACAAAGTATCAAGCCTCTAGTCATAAGGACACTTACACTATTCCGTTTGCGCAATGACACGCACTTCGGCTGTGCTCCTCTACGAAGCACCGAAATGGCACACCTTGCCACGACCTCTGCAAGGGATAAAAAGCGTCGGTGTGGCTTTGTTAGGTCTTGACCTGCTGTTTATTTCACCCTTAACATGACTGTAAATATCGGCTTGAAAATAGTAGTTTTAGATAATCCTTGTTAAATCTATCATGTTGAAATTTAACTGTCAAGGTTATCCATTCATTTTGAATCTTTCGTTTGAAAATTTAATCATCAAGATTTTTTCATCGTCAAGGTTAATAAAGTTTGATTTAACTCTAAATCTATAATTTGAAAATTTCATCTTCAAGATTATTTCATTTTCACTTCTATTTTCACTCCAAATCTATGAAATTTGATCGTCACGGTTATTTCATCTTCAAGGTTAATATAACTCTAAAATTTCGAAATTTAATCATCAAAGTTATTTTCACTGTAAATGCATGATTTGCAAATTTGATCGTCGGGATTATTTTCCTTACATTTCTAATACTTATGAAGAAAATTACGCATATTCAAAACCCAATTCAACTCTCGAAAATAGCGAACATGTCTCTACTAACAAATTCATCACAAGCATTATAACTAGAATTTGTGATAGAAATATATTTTTTGAATTGAATTACTGTTAAAGGGAAGCAACCTCTACAAATTAAGGTATGTTTGAGGCCACTCATAATTTATTTTTTCTATCCTACGGGATAACCACTTAAAAAGTGGAAAGACTTTATCTATCAAAGGGAAATTAGTGAACTGTTAGTGAGTGATGTTGATTACTAGTCACTACAGGGAAATTGGTGAACTGTTTTTTAAATCTACCCAATCAAGTAATAATTATTGATAAATCGTGAACTGTTAGTGAGTGATGTCGATTACTAATCACTAGGGAAATTGGTGAACTGTTTTTTTAAATCTAACCAATCAATGAATAATTATTGATAAACCGTGAACTGTTAGTGAGTGATGTTGAGTATTAGTCACTACAGGGAAAGTGGTGAACTGTTTTTTAAATCTAACCAATCAATGAATAATTATTGATAAACCGTGAACTGTTAGTGAGTGATGTTGAGTATTAGTCACTACAGGGAAAGTGGTGAACTGTTTTTAAATCTACCCAATCAAGTAATAATTATTGATAAATCGTGAACTGTTAGTAAGTGATGTTGATTACTAATCACTAGGGAAAGTGGTGAACTGTTTTTTAAATCTACTCAATCAAGTAATGATTATTGATAAATCGTGAACTGTTAGTGAGTGATGTTGATTACTAGTCACTAGGGAAATTGGTGAACTGTTTTTAAATCTAACCAATCAAGTAATAATTATTGATAAATCGTGAACTGTTAGTGAGTGATGTTGATTACTAGTCACTAGGGAAATTGGTGAACTGTTTTTAAATCTAACCAATCAAGTAATAATTATTGATAAATCGTGAACTGTTAGTGAGTAATGTTGATTACTAGTCACTAGGAAAATTGGTGAACTGTTTTTTAAATCTAACCAATCAAATAATAATTATTGATAAATCGTGAACTGTTAGTGAGTGATGTTGATTACTAGTCACTACAAGGAAATTGGTTAACTGTTTTTTTTTTTTAATCTAACCAATCAAATAATAATTATTGATAAACCGTGAACTGTTAGTGAGTGATGTTGATTACTAGTCACTACAAGGAAATTGGTGAACTGTTTTTTTTTAAATCTACTCAATCAAGTAATAATTATTGATAAATCGTGAACTATTAGTGAGTGATGTTGATTACTAGTCACTACAGTTAAATTGTTTGAATTGTTTTTAAATCTATCCAATCAAGTAAAAATTATTGATAAATTGTTGAATTGTTTTTGAAATCTATCTAAAATGGCAGGAAGTATGAAAATAGCTCCGGTTTCCCTTCAGGCCAAACACAAAAACTAGATTAAACTGCTTGATTAACAGTTCCGTTTTTAATCACCCCCTTAGTGCAGGCCTATACATAAATGTAAATAACATAATATTTCAGAAATATTTTCGTACATACTGCCCCTTTAATTAAAAGTCTAAAAGTTCAACAATTCAATTCCCCGTTAGTCGTTTCGTACACATTTCACTTATTGTGAAATAACAATTCTAACGTATTATATTCTCAATCTATGTTGAAACCATAGTTAATATATAAAGTTTTCAAAGTATTCTTTATTAAAGATTCGTTATTAAAATCGTTACATATTTATCGAAACGACTTGGCACAGTTTTCATCAATGAGGTGAACGAATCGCCTCGGTAGTCTCGATCAGGGGTTAGAGTTCTGTTGAATTTTGGAAGGAGTGGAGGAACTGAGATTCCTGAAAACTTTTGAAGAATGTTTATTTCTTGGCCGTCGCTTGAAAGATGATAAAATTACTGTGGTAAGAATACATATTTGTTTTAAAAAATTAAACCATATGGGTTTGGAATGGAATGTAGTTTGTAGTAAAACGTGTGGACGTGAAGTTGACCTATTTATTGAATGGAAAGACTGGATTGACAAAGTCTAACCACGTGTATTTATAGTGATGCAATGTGTTGGGTTTGTTTACAACTTGTTTTAGCGAAAACTTCTTTCAGCTCACCGATTCTATAGGATTTACTATGATGTTTACTTGACCGGTCGTCCCAAGGTTACCTCATTCTTTTATTCCGGCATCTGGATGATGAAATAATGTTCTACATTAGATAACCCCCTCGGCTAGCGTAGTACCGTGGTATTTCTATTATTTTTATTTTACAACAGCGAGACCTTTTCAAATGATTCAAATTCAATGACTTGACTATCAGATTGCCGATTGGTGGTTTGTTACAGTTCAGGAATAGCGCGGGAGGTGGGCCAAGACATGTTGATGTTGCATCATATTTTATAATCAATTATTTAGTGATTGGAGTTTTGGTTTGACTGGTAGCCTACCGTTTTGTTATTTGCGAGTTTATACTAAGCTTATCCTATAGCCTGTCAGACATAGTTTGTTGCTCAGTAAAAGTGTGGAGTAAATTTGCTGTAAGACCAAAGGTAAGTTCAGATGAATAATCTTATTCTTTAAATTTTGACAACTTATGGTCTTCTTATTTGGCAGATCCAGACCTTGACCGTCTACATTCAATAAGAATAGAATTATAATTCTTCATCATTTAACATTGATTTTTATTTCTAGACAAGCCGTCTTTTGATTTGTAGACATGTTATATTTTGAGGTTACCTTTTGGTTTGTAGGGATGTTATTGTTATCTTTTGTCGTTTTGAGTTACCTTTTGATTTGTAGACAAGTTATCTTTTGAGGTTACCTTTTGATTTGTAGACATGTTATCTTTTGAGGTTACCTTTTGATTTGTAGACAAGTTATCTTTTGGGGTTACCTTTTGATTTGTAGACAAGTTATCTTTTGGGGTTACCTTTTGATTTGTAGACAAGTTACCATTTGATTTGTAGATAAGTTGTTATCTTTTGAGATTACCTTTTGATTTGTAGACAATTTATCTTTGAGTTACCTTTTGATTTGTAGACAAGTCATCTTTTGATGTTACCTATTAATTTGTAGACAAGTTATCTTTTGAGGTTACCTTTTGATTTGTAGACAAGTTATTTTCAGAGGTTAACTATTATTTTGTAGACAAGTTATCTTTAGAAGTTACCTGTACCTATTAATTTGTAGACGAGTTATCTTTTGAGGTTACCTATTAATTTGCGAACAAGTTTCCTTTTGATTTGTAAACGAATCGCCTTTTTATTTGTAGACTATTGATGTGTAAGTTGTAGTTGTTGTAAGAGGAGTTACTGGCACCCTGTTTTTTAAGGGTATAGTGAGTGCGGTACTTGCTTCAGTGTATTTTTGAGTGCACGGTTTATGTCAGTGATTCAGTAGAAAAGGTTAACTGGTGAAAACAGTTGATTAGTATGGAATAAAAAGCTGTTTATGTAATATGATCCTTGACAGGCTTAAAATCTCATACCAGTTTAATTGAAATTAGACAAAACTTTCCTTGTTGTTTTTTTTATAAGTTTTTATTTTTATTATAACCACTTCAGTTAAGGTCCAAGGCCATCTCTCTTAAACGTTTTTCAAAATAACCTTTTGAAAAATAAAAGATAATAAAAAACGGAACGAAAGTTTGGTTTAATTTTGATTAGGCTGATCGTATACAGGTAACATTGTTTGGATAGAGAGAAAATGAAAGTTAACTCAAATTTTAGTATATAAAACATGTCATTCCATTGAGTAATACCTGCCATAGTAGTTTGATCTTCAATTCAGTGTACAGAATGAGAAGATGATGATAAACACTAAGACAGTCGCTATAATAAGCGAAATTGTAGAACAATTAACAAAAGCCAAAACATATTGAGCTGTTTAGGGTCTAAAACCAAAACTAGGTCAAACTGCTTAATTAACAATTAGTACTCTCTGTTTTTAATTAACCCATCTAGAAATATCAAAATAGCATATTTTAGAAATCTTTTCATGTAAGTTCAGCTTATAATTTACAACATTTTTTAATATTGACAATTTTGCATACTGCCCCTGTGAGGATTCAAGATTTCATAACAAAACTGATATACACTGAACTCATAGAAGCCACAAAACAATCATTACCAGCTGTAAAAATATTGAATCAATCCAAATATTGATGTAAGGGTTAAGGATTAGAAGCCTGGGGTTAATTTGTACACCTGAGTATAGTTAGTATATTGAAAGTAAATGATTGTGATCATAACCAGGTGGTAATAGTACATAATTTTAGACACTTTATGATAGAGATTAGATATAAATAGAATGTTAACTTCTTATACTACTTATCTAATATCTTTATAAAATACAAGTTGACTTATAGATTGTATTAGATAAGATTGTTTGTATATGCTATACAAGTGATCACTTATCGGTCTTTCAAGACTGGATCAAAAACAGGCAAAATAGGATATTCCATTCCAAGTGGGTAATATTGCATCATAAGATTGTTATGAGGTTAGATAGATCAACTTTAAAATCATGCAAAGTAGGATATTCCATCTTTGAATTTGTGAATATTATGGCATCTTTAAATCAGTGAATTATTGGATCAAGTCTTTTGGTCGGAGTTGTCGTGATTTCATGTTTCATTTTTCCATATGATATATTTAGCAATTTAATGTAAACAACCTTTTTATGTTTTTCAGGTCCTGTCCAGGCTCATAACTAATTAAATTATTTGATTAAAGAATAGTAGACACTGCCAGAGTGAAGAAAATTCAAGATGGAGACCTCACCTTCATGTACCACATCCAGTTCAGGCCCCAAAGTCGAATTGAAGAAGCACATAACTTTGTTCCAAGGTGTTTCCATTATAGTGGGAATTATCATCGGATCTGGTATTTTCGTGTCTCCGGTTGGAATATTGATGAATGTGAAATCAGTAGGATTTAGTTTAGTTATGTGGGTCGTGTGTGGCCTGTACAACACGCTCTGCGCTGTATGCTATGCTGAGCTTGGATCATCTATGCCACAGTCTGGAGGAGAATATGTGTATGTTAAAAGAGCCTTTGGTGACTTATTTGGTTTTATCATCTTATGGATTAACTTTTGTTTGATTTGTCCTGTGGGAATTGCTGCACTGAGTTTAATTTGCTCTCTGTACATTTTACAACCGATTTTCCCAAATTGTGAAATTCCAGAGATGGCTACAAAGTTAATAGCCACATGTATCGTGTCTTTCCTAATATTTATCAACAGCCGAAATGTCAAATGGGCTACGAGAATGCAGGTTGTGATAACAACAGCTAAATTAGTAGCCTTAGCAATCGTCATAGTGATCGGTATCATATATATTGCTACTGGAGACCGTGAAAACTTTACCAACAGTTTTGAGGGAACAGATTTCAGCGCTGGAGCAATTGCTCTGTCTTTTTATTCTGGATTCTGGGCTTATAGTGGTTGGAGTTATTTAAACTTTTTAACTGAAGAACTTGTTAATCCTAATAAGAATTTACCTAGGGCCATTTTGATCTCAATGTGCCTTGTTATATGTGTATATTTGGTAGCTAATATTGCCTACCTTGCTGTGCTGACGCCTACTCAGATGTTGCAGTCGACTGCAGTAGCTGTCACTTTCGCCTCACAGACAATGGGGGTGATGGAATGGTTGATGCCGATTTTAATTGCTGTATCAGTCTGTGGAACCATGAATGGAACTGCACTATCAATGTCACGATTATTTTTTATCGGTGCTCAGAATAATCATATGCCTCAGTTTATGTCTATGATTCAGTACAAATTTTTAACCCCTGTCTCCTCGCTTCTCGTTATTCTCTTTCTTACAATCTGCTTCCAGAATTCTAACGATATTTGGTTCCTGATTGAAATGGAAGGATTCGGATTTGCTACAGTTCTAACCTTGGTATTTGCCGGTCAGGTTTATTTGAGATTTTCTGAACCCGACATGAAGCGGCCAATCAAGGTCTACATTGCCTTGCCTGCAGTTTTATGTCTTATAAGTTTTGCTATAGTATGTTTAACATTTTATAAAAAGCCTACAGAAAGTTTTTTGGCTCTGTGTATTGTAGCAGGCGGTGTTGTGTTATATTGCGTTGGTAACCGATGGCAACGTAAACCAAAGGCCATTCAGTCGAAGATTAATTTTGTGAACACATTCTTTCAGAAATTATTATTAGTTGTCCCTCAAGATAATCCAGATGAAATAGAATGGGAATAAAAAGTATTTTAAGTCTCCTTAATTTGTAAGAGAGAACAAAATTATTCACCAAATATAAAAATTGAAATTTGAATTGAAAAATTTTGAAGCTGAGACCAATTTACAGTTTGCTTCAAAAAATTCAAACATTCGTTATTCTTTTGAAAATCTGTCTTCCACCATTGACTTAAGGCTTAAAATGATGTGAGAAAGTCAAGTAAATGAATTGATGCCTGAAATTCTCATTATATTTGTGCTTTTGCCAATCAAATGGGCATTTTTCATGAACTGATTTGCATTATATATTGGGCATTATTTACTCCTGGTGGCAAGATTTTGTAATTTATAAATAGGCCTTGTTTGAAATCTTCATTTTGAAAATGTCATAAATATCCTTTTAAGGGTTATTTCATTATCTTCATATAGGCATTCATATATCTTATATTTAAGGTTTTGGAAATTTTTTTTTCCTAATCATTTGTTTTGCCAGCCTTAAGATATAATTTCAGCTACTAAAATACTTTATATTTGATAAGTTTATGCAATTCAATAAAACAGTACTGCTGGTAAATCAAATGATTGGATGAAGATAGATTTAAAGAGACAGATTCACCATCCATTTGACTAATAGTAACTTAGACTCAGAAACAGAAATTTTTTAGCCGAGCTAATCAGTAATAGCGTTCAAATCCATGTGTGGCCAGAGTTATTTGAGTTTAAAAGTTAGATTTCTAGATATTTCTAGTTCTCCTAAAGACTATTTACATATATTCAAGACTCAAATCAACCACCAAAAATGATGAATCTGTCTCATTCATCTTTTGCCACATCAGTATTCCAAATGGAATTCAAATTTGTGTGATTTCTCTGTCATAAGTATTATTCATGTACATGTACTTGTATTATCAGTTTTATTTTGTTTGAATATGCATTGTTCTTGTCAAATACAATTCAAACTCAGAATTAACATTGAAAAGTTTTTGAAAATATCGCCAAAATGACAGCTTAGAGCTTAGTTTAGACATGAATGGTAAATATGGCTTTGAGGTTAAATTTGGCATGACTGATAAATAAAGCTGAATAACATATTAGACATGACTGGTAAATATAACTAAATTGATGGCTTTGAGGTTAAATATGGCATGACAGGTAAATAAAGCTGAATAACATTTTAGAGCTTTCTTAAGACATGACTGGTAAATATAACTAAATCACATCTTAGAGCTTCATTAAAACATGACTGATAAATATAACCAAATCACATCTTAGAGCTTTCTTAAGACATGACTGATAAATATAACCAAATCACATCTTAGAGCTTTCTTAAGACATGACTGGTAAATATAGCTAAATCACATCTTAATAATTAAAGCCAAATCATATTTTTAATTGACAGCTAAAAGCTATGCATAGACATGGTTGGTCACTCTGGAAAATTCACTAAGAGCCAAATCAAGAGCCCTTCATACCTTAATGCATTAAAATGTGTTCTGGAGTCAATACCTCAATTTCTTCTATTTATGATTATGGTCAGTTAGTTACTGTTATTTTATGTACGTTTTTCCTTATGTAATCTTTATATGAATTTACAATGAATTACATTCAGAAATTGTTATATTGTTTAATATCTTTTTGAGGTGATTAGCTCCATTTCCAAACAATTGTCAATATTTTTGTTTTGTTAAAGGTATTAAGTTAAGCTTCTAGAATTTTGGCAAAATGATTTCTGTATCAGGTTTTCGTATTCTAATATTCAGAACATTATGAAATAAAATATAATTTAGAGACAAGCTTTCATAGCCAGAAGTTTTAGTCAATCAATATTGCCTTCAAGCAAATACCCTAGTTGGACTTGCCTGATATTATTTTGGTGCCAGTGTTCATTCTTTTTTTGCGCTTTGCTTTTGCATAATTATTTTTTTGTGTTTATTTTTTGTTTTTGATTTTAATAATATTTTTGATTTCATGTGTTTATTTTGACAATTTAAGTATTTTTGTTTGTTTTTATTAATACTAATCATAGAAGTAATCGGAAGTGTATTTTGATATTAAGTCTAACAATCATCTATTTGACACCCCTCAACTTTCTTTTGAACTCTTCCACATGTGCATTATCAATCAATATAAAATTGTATGATGTGTGATAGGAATAGCTCATTATTAAACTTAAGGGTTGTTTGCTGCCTTCAAATGATATTCAGCCTTGATGAATAAGACTCTTAGAAGAGATGTAACCTACCAATCAGAAAGGGTTTGTAAAAATGTTTTCTACACTTGTATGTGCATTAGGGACACTGAGAACCTGCCTTTGGGGCTGCGAAGTGGGTTTGATTGTCCCCCTCTGCCCCTCCTTTGGCTCCACCACTGGATCTAATATTGCATTGAATATCTGTGTTTTCAATAACTCCAAATTCTAAATTTACTATCAAAAACTATTAGGCAGAAAAACCTTTTTTCAGTCACAATTAACTAGATAAGGGTAATCTATAACATCTTGAATAACCACCAAGATGGCTATTTTGATATGATTTGGTAATTTAATATGAAGATGGTCTTGACAAGCATATAATTGGAATGAAATGATCAATTTCATGACACATGTCAGAGAGCTACAAATTGTTGTCTTTTGGAATTTGGGCCATTTACCACAATACAAATTTATTATTGTATTTCCATTTCATTTATCTGACATTTCGTGACCTATATAAAAGACAATGACCCAATTTCAGCCCCTAATCTTGAGTGTCCTGTAAGATTATATGATAAGAAAATGATAAGTGAACCTTTGATTGTTCACTTAAGATTATATTGTATATTGTTACTAAATAATACATCCTTATGTAATCTATACCTCTCCAATTCTTACTTTATTGGAGACTTTCAAGTTAGATTGACTTCCAATATTAAGTCAATGACTAGATCTAACAAAGTCATCATTGAGACAGTTTTCTAATGGTCACTCTTTTATGAATAGTAACATGATGTTACTAACATCATATTAAAGGGATTGAAAAGAGGTTTTCGATATTTTTTATATATATCAGGGACACTAAAAGCATCAATTTGCACCATTCCAATTTTCAATCAGACGTCAGTGTTTCCTGCAATTTCACTAAAACAGTCATTCAAAATGCCAAATGATTGTGAAATTTGTTGTACTATTCAGTAAATCAGAAGAAAACCATTTATCTGAACACTCTCATTTGATAGACTAAGACTTTAAGCTGACATAGAATGTGGTATCATTCTAATAACACTTTAAGAATGAACCTATAACCTTGCTAGACCACTATTTCCATGTCTGGCAAAAGTTAATAGTAGACCACATTAATTTAAAGTACAGTAAGGTGATGTCTGGTATTTCTATAAGCTGGCAGCAATAAAAATAGTACACCACTAAAGTAATGCCAGGTGTGGTGAAAGATAAAAAAAATAACACCCATAATTCAAAATTCTTGCCAGCTTTAAATTTCATCATTTTGATTGCTTGATTGAACCACATCTTTAAATCAAATTCAATCAAAGCATCAGTGTATTTTAACCAGACAGAAATTTGGTTCTGAACTTTTGTATGTCACTCTTAATGTCCCTAATGAAAATAAAAGTGTGAGAATTATAACCGTTGTATACCATGTTTGACCATATTGAGATCATGAACTTTTCATCTACCCCATTTTTCTCATGACCTTATATAATTTAGTTTTAGTTTCACAACATTTTGTACATTCATGTCCTAGCTTGAAATAAATTTTTTTAGTGTGTTGGGTTCAAAGTTCAAGTGTTATTTTTGATTTGCTACTGTTTGACATTAATTTCAACATGACCGCCGATTTCATTTTACATAATGCATATCTTTTGTCAGTTTGGTTGTACATTTATTATGAGTCTAAGTTTAGAAATTTTGCAACAGAAAATGAAAATTGTCATATATACCTGTACACTTGTTACCGATAAAGCGAATTGACCCCACCCCCTCCCCTCTTTTTGCAATTTAGGCCAGTGTTTATTGAATCTAAATTTTTTTGGTTTTTAGATGTTTTTGTGTGTTATTTCATTTATACAAAGATAATATAACAAAAGAAAAATCGAGATGCCTTTATTTCTCTAACTAATAATAATTAATTACTTAAAGATGGGTTTCCTTATTTTTTAGTGCCAAATTAGGCTAATTATTTGATTAATTGGTGTTTTAATGAATTATTGTGTATTCTTAATCATATCATTATCTTCTTATTGCATATAATTAGAAGTTTTAACCAAATATAAATGTCCATATGTGTACAGTCTGGATAAACGAAAGAGAATTTTTAACCTTTCTTGATCGGTCACTCATTGGAATTCTACTGGTAATTCTCTTCTAATTTAGCTAATTATGAATTAACTATGGACATAAACTGGTATTTTTCTAAGTCATTAGTTGAACACTTCTAGTTTCTCTTCATTTTAAGTTTTAGCATTTTCATTTTCATAAATGAAAATAAGGGAACCCACCCTTAAATGAAATTGATGAAAATTTATTTAAGTGTACGACCGCGAAAGATGCGAGATACAGTGTGGGATTATCAGTACTTTGAAGCGAATCTCTTATTCAATTCTTCTATTTTCTTCTGTATGGATTATAGTCCTGGACACTGTACCTCGTGTATTAGCGACTTAAGTCTTTTTGCTTGTTATTTCTTGAATTTATCAAATTGTACATACTTTGATTTTAAACTTGTCTGTTATAGCTAGAAATATATTTTAAACATGTTGTTTTTTCTGTTGAAAATAAATATTTTGACACAAGATAACATATATAATTCTGGAATTTCTTTTTGTTTATCTTTTTTATTTTGTTAGATATTGTTGAGAATTGTCATTTGGGCTATATAGCTAAAAAATATATTTAAAAAAAAATGAGGTTATTATAGTTGAGAATAGTCATTTGGCATTGGCATTATATAGCTAAAAATACATTATAAAAATTTGTTGAGAGTTGACATGTGGCAATACAAAGGTATAAAATGTTTTAAAGGGATGGGTTCGCCAATTTGGGGGGCTTGATTTGGGGCTTGAATATATGTGCATACATGCGTGCAGGTCAGGAAAACAATCTGGGGATTTGCCTTGAAAAATCTGGAGAATGGGTTGAAAGTTTGGAGATTGTTTCAAGGTGTGTAAATTTGTGAATTTATGTACATAGTCTTCAGAAGTACCAAAAATATATGAAAATCGCATAATTCCTTCAAAAATACTTAAGTGGAATTGCAGGAACCACTGACGTCTGATTGAAAATTGGAACGGTGCAAATTGATGTTATCACTGTCGTTGATACACATGAAAACATATTTACAATCCCTTTAAGTTGTATCCTTGTTAAATAGCATTTTGTTATTTTCTTCACAAGGAATGTTAGGCTATTGCTACAATTAATGAAGTAATTTCTTATAACATATTTCACCAACATGCTTGACTGCTCATGTTCATATAACTAACCTGTATTGTTCATTTTAAATTACTTCTAGATATTCTGTCAACTGTTACAAATTACATTTCAAGGGATGATAGTTGTAAATTGTTATTAAAGGGAAAGGTTGGCCATCTGTTTGACCAAGGTAACTTTCTCTCAGAAACGGGAATTTTTTAAGCTAATCAGTAATAGTTTTCAACAGCTCATCCTCAAAATTTGAGTCTTCAGATCTGTGTGTGTCTAAAATTATCCGCGTTTGAAAGTTACAAAGACGACTCATCATTTCTTGAGACTGTGCCATATATAGAAAAAACTTATATAGAAAAAGAAAATGAAATTTCAAGTTTGAGGTATTTTTGAAGGAATTATGCGACTTTCACACATTTCTAGTACTAATGAAGACTATTAAAATATGTTTAAGACTCAAAAATCAACCCCCAAATATGGCAAAATTGTCCCTTTAAGTTAGATGTTATGACAACGGCAATAACTCATGAAGCATTACCAAAAAGGTTGGACTTAACAAATATAATATGTTATTTCTGATATATCTAATGTAACTAGAGAAGAGTGGTTTATTTACTGAAAATGTTGCTCATCTATTTGAAAATTAATTTATCAGTATTTTAATAAGTTTTAAATTGGTGTGTGAAAGATATTTTCATTTGATTAGGTTTTAAGTACTTGTATGGTTAAACAATTATTAATGAAATGTAATTAGATCAAAATGATAAGAGCTTTTTTTCAGCCTACTCTAGTCAACTATCAAAATATCCATCTCATACCAGATAAAAGTGTCAAATTTTTTAATTACTAAATATGTTTACAGGGATTATAAAGAGGTTTTTAAATTTTATGTGTATCGGGGATCAATTTTCAGCATTCCAATTTTCAATCAGATGTCTGTGGTTCCTGCAATTCCACTAAAACTAATTAACTCATCGCTAAATATGCTTTATTACATAAGGCCTTCGCGATTAGTGATGTCATCAAATGGAAATGGAAATTTTGCATTATTCACAGACGCCTGATTGAAAATTGGAAACCTCTTTACAATTCCTTTAAGTGGACAAATTCCTAGCTAGTCAATTACTGTCAAAATAAATGACTGTCAGAAAACAGTTAACAGTTGAAATGTTGCTAGTAGGTAGAGATGATACATATACCCAAAATAAAAACCATCTCATAAGGGAAACATTTCCAGACCAGATAGGAGTACCTAATTTTCTTAGAAATTGTGAAGACTAAATTATAATGAATATATTTTCGTGTGTGTATGTGCTCTTTTAATTATGCTGTACAGTTTAACGATTTTTTACAGAAGTTTTAAATTTGTCCTGAAGGAGAAGCATTGCATATGTGACGTCTCCAAAATCTCATGAAAATATTTTTATTTCAAATTTCGGACTTGGTTTAGAAAGGACAGTTTTGGTTTCATGGTTAATTTAGATATATGCTTTGGTCATGAATGTTTTGAATTAAGTTGCTTTATTTTGAGAATTTATGATGGACACGTCAATCTTGAAATTATCATTCACTGGATGTGTATATGGTTTGAGATATATATGTGTTTCTGGACAGGCTTCAAAACAACTTTCATGAACAGACATTTTTGCTCATCCAATCCAATTCCAAACATTTGTGTCAAAACCACTCCCCTATTTGACATATTTCCTCGAGATAAGACAATGTCAAAACCTATATTTGTGATATGATTAAAAACATAAACACTAGCAATCCACATTATTTTTAGGTATTTTGTACTTAATGTATGATTGCTATTTATTAGTGTTATTGCTATTTATTAGTATTATTACTATTTATTAGTTTTATTGCTATTTATTAGTATTATTACTATTTATTAGTATTATTACTATTTATTAGTATTATTGCTATTTATTAGTATTATTACTATTTATTAGTATTATTACTATTTATTAGTATTATTACTATTTATTAGTGTTATTGCTATTTATTAGTATTATTACTATTTATTAGTATTATTACTATTTATCTTATCTAAAAATAAAGCGGACTGCTCAGTTTTATGTTTCAGACTCAGATGAGCACTAATAACTTTGCTTGGCTATAGTGCAAGGGGTAGCACTCAATTGGTCTAGGGTTTGTTTCATAAATTATATGATTGTTCAAAACAGATATCTCCCATGGTTTTGATGTGCCTGAATATCTTGGTCAAACTGTACTGCTATCTGTAGTTTTTTTAAACACTGTCATTTTATTTGAGTTATTTTCTGTAAGATTTGAAGAGTTGAAATTATTTTTATATTTTATGATAATGTGTTATTGAATTTCTTTGCATTGAATAATAAATGTGACATATATAATTACTGATGTTTTTTTGGGGATTGCTTATAACGAAAATATTTTTTTTTGGGAGGGAGTACGGGATTGGGGTAGGCCTATATATGATTTAGATGCATTTTAGGGAAAGGGTGTGGCATGATGGAAGCAGAGTTTTACATACTTTTCTGTGAGCAAATAAGGATGGCAATGCAGTGTGCAATAAGGGACATTTTACCAGGACAGAGGCATGAGCCTACTCTTTTCTACTTGCAACTGTTAAGGGATCTTTAATGTGCACATTCTGTAGCAGACGCGGCCTTGGTTTATTGTCCCATCTGACATACTAGAATCTTTTTCCAGATCAGCCTTTCCGGACCTCATCTCTGAATAGTGGTAGAAAAAATTGTGGACGGTTAGCTAAACGCTGTTTATTAATGGTGGAAGCCAGCTTTTAATGCTTGAGTCTGTTGATCTAAAAGCCAAAAGGAACATGACCATTTTTTTGCATGTTTTTCAATATGACACTGTCAAATATCACTTAAGTATTTCCCCTTTTTCTTTGCATTTTTGCTTCGTCAGTTTGAGAGTCAGGTTTTAAGAATTGGCAAAACCATAGCTGCCATTCATAAGTTGGCTAGATGATAAGATTTCATGGTGTATGTGAAAATTAAAAATTAAACTGCAGCTGCCCCTATTTGAAACTATCAAAATCCGACATTTGTAATAAATCATTTAGCGACATTAAATTGATCACTACGCATGCGCGTTGGTGTAGACGCGGTTTAATCCACTTCCGGCTTTCAAAACGTAAACATTGAATTTATGAAGATATTACATTCAGATCAAAATGATGCCTGTTAGATTCAAAGTAAGTACCATAATATTATTATTTTCGGTGAGACGAAGTCTCAATGCACATGAATAAATCCATTGATTGTTTTTTGCTTGCGAAATTTGAGAATAAGAAGGGAAAACTTGAAAACCAAACAAGAAATTTCAAAATCCGAGAGCAAACAAGTTCAGACGCGAATTTGAACATCTGTCAGTGTCAACGTGAGAATTTGACTGTATAGTTATTTAATATTAAAGCTGATGAAGAATGAAATTCGTTAGATTTTGATTCTGGTAGTCTGATATATAGATCCTCATCCTCAATCTTCACTTGGATTAAATAGAGGTGGAAACAACTGTTGAGGAACTTCTATAGTTGTAAAGGGGAAAACCACTACATTAGTACAATGATCTCATTGCCACCATTTCAATACTCAGTCAGACATTGTCATGTGGTTCTTGGAATTCCAGTGTCCACTATAACAAAATGTTTTCAGACGTCACGAGATCTACCGGTACCGGTACTGCAAATTTTGTGAAGAATATCTTGGCAGGGAGCTGATAACTACATCATGAAAGTTACCGATATCCTGTTAATTTGACATCTCAATTAAATTCATTCATAAATTTTACAGGGAAAATCTGAATATGATACTCATTATAAGTGGGTTGAATCATATCGTGGGAAAAACTTTAAACCATCATTAGAACAAGCTGCACCTCAAGCTGGAGTCAGAACAGTTGATCTAGCCAGTGGGTAACTCTTGGTTGACATAGTCTTCAAGAAAATGTCTCTATTAACATGAAACCCAATCTAATTCAAATACGATTACAATTTCCTTTGTGTTTTTCTTGTATCGGTACCGGTACCTGTTATTTTCATCTCTATTGTGATCTAACAGATTTGTAACTTTTTGATGATAGAGACATTTACTGGAATATTATGTCATTTGCCTGCTGTGCTTTATGTAACCTTAATACCCCTTGAATGGCCTTGATTAATAACCTGCTTAACCTTGCACTGTGCTTGAATTTATAGTATCTCCCTCTAATTAAGATTTGCTTGGTTCTTCTAATAAGCTTAATTGCTGGCATCTTCACAGGGTCAAGCTATTATGTACTGCATCTCATACCTTGACTGTTATAGCCACCTTTTTTGTATCATATAAGATTGTAAATTGAATTTGACAGCAATTTGATTGGATTGTACAATAGTGAATATAGCCAATAGGAGCCCTTGGCAGAAATACCGTACAATTTGACTGCTCATTTCATCTGGGGTTATGATTGCTGTATTCACTAGAATACAATCCAATCAAATTGCTGCATTTATAAACTGCCGTGAAATAAAAGGTGGTTATTGCGGTCAAGGTATTAGATGTAGTTCTAGCTTGGCATTGTGAAGATGATATGCTTGGGGCTAAGTTATTTTGTGTGTAATTTTGTGTGAATTTGATTTGCATGTTAATATTTTTGCAGGGAACTTCAGAATATAAAGAGCAATATAAACCATTTGACAACATGCTTGTGGAAATGAATGGAAAAACTCACAATACAGCTCTTGATATTCCTCAACAAAAAGGTACTAGATTCAATGCTAAGATTGATTGTCAACAAATTTGGGACAAAATATTCAGCACACTGAAGTCAAAAATATTTTAATTGATCATCCTTGATAAATTTTTCACCAATTTATCATTTCCAAATTTTAATTCTTAGTTGATTTCATGGCTATATACAAACTTTCTGACTCTAGCCAGCCAATTATATTTGTTATCAAAGATCAGTAGGGGCAGTATATTTTTTTTGGACTTATCATAATAAACCCTTTTTCCAGTCTATCAAAATATCTTAAAGGGAGACGTGGGCCATTTTCGGAGTTAGTTTTGGTCTTGAATATATGTAAATAATCTTTAGATATACAAGAATTGTACGAAAATCGCATAATTCCATCAAAAATACTTCAAACTAGAAGTTTTCTATCAGCTTGTATGATAGAGCATGTTAAAAGACGAATCAAAGACTAAAATTTCGATGGGGAGCTGTGTATTCTAATACTGATTGACTTAGCTAAAAAAAATCCCCTTACTGAGACTAAGGTATGATTGCTCAAAAAAGAATGGCCCATCTGTCCCTTTAACATAATTTTCTTTTGATGGCATGCTACCAGAATAATTTGCTTTTGCCTATTCATATACGTATACTTTCCACTAACCATTTGAATTGGTTACTAACATTCTGTGTACTCATTTCAAACATGGAAACCAGGGCAAACAGGTGTTGTCCTGTTAATCAGACCTGAAGCTATCTCTAATTATAATCAGCTTTAATTGATTATAAATTAGTTTAATTAGATCGGATTTGTATTAAATTGAATTACAATTAACATTGTTATGATATCTTGATATCAAACTATATATACAATTTAGACCTGATACAATTGGTTTAATGACAGTTACCGGTACTATTCCAAACCTTTATGCTGTTTGCCCTGGTTAAGTACTATTCAAGTACCATATTTTAGAGTTTTCTTTTATCCATTTTGTAAATTTAGACTTTTATTATGATTCTTTAAAAACACTAAAATTAATATTCAAAATCATTGAAATTCAGAAACAGCTGAAAGTGTTTTTTTTTTTTAAGTTATACCATTGTAAGAGAGCAAAATTGAAACTTTTTCATTTACCTACATACTTAATATGCTGACTTAATTTTCATTTTTCTTTAATAGGAATGGAGCCATCAATTCAACAGAAGAAGAGAGTAGAAGGACCCACAACTTCAATGTCGTGTGATTTTTTCCAACGTCCTCCACCAGAAGAATACATTGTTCTTGGTGGTCAAGATAAATTCTCAACTAACAATGTTAAATATGTTCCCAAGAAACGACTTGTGATGGATAACGTGAATCGAAGTGAGGCTAATAGCCATTTTATTCAGCCTCAACCTGACGAGCCAATCAGATCTATGGATTTTCATTTAAAGGTGGGTTATTTAAAAATTTTGAAAAAAGTTTTTCGATCAACCATGTTGATGAATTAATCCATTGCGTGGAATTTAGTCGAATGGAGGTCACCTTAGAAGCACTAATGATCTGTACCTAGAGAAGAAACCCAAAATTCAAAATGGCATTTCATTGGTTAGCTAATGAACTTTGCACATGTGGAAGTACTGGTATATCAATCATTAATGAGGAAGTACTTCATTATGAAAAGTGGTATCAGGCGTCTAAAAGAGTAAGCACACTCTGCCAGGCACAACACCTGTTGTTAATTGATAGTGCAGCGGATATCGGATACATGCTGTGGGTAAAGTTTGGTGTTGGGAATGACAACAAGTAATAAGTTAAACTTTATGTACACTTAAATACAACCAGGTTACATAGAAAATCCAGTTGTACATTCAATGCAGCTCCTAAATATGTTATGTCGAACTGCACGCGTGGTTTGGTTTATATAGCCAGTCATCGGCTGCTGATTGGTTGAGCACGCAAGTGCATTCATAACAACTACTGCACGTGTTTGGTCTCGTTCGGATACCAGTCTTCGTAAATCGGGGGAGATCGTAAGCTTGTTGTACCAGTAACTGGATAATCAAGACTGTAAACATGGGAGATCAACTTCCGTAACAATAGCCAATTATAGAGTACATTTTCAGATGTAATTTTAATTGCAGAAAGACAAAGAGATCCAAGTAGAAACATTGAAACCTGCAAAATCTCCACCAAAAGTGAATACCAGACAATTTACAGACCCCCTTACACCATTAGCTCCTAGAGAACCAAAATATCCTACAGAAACCCACGCTACACAGACGCTGAATCAAGAACCACAACTCCAGCACAAACAAAAATCTCATCTGAATAAAAATGGTCTGGAGAAATCTTCGAGCCATCATGACACACATCATGCACACCAGCAAAACCAGGAGAGACAAAACATACCCAAAACACACAAAACCAAGATGGCCGCCAGAAAAAATCCAGAAGAAATTAGGTATAAAGCTGGATTAAAGGATAAGAATATTCAAGATGTTTTAGAAAATAAGAAATTTCCCAATAAAATGAATGAATTTACTCAGGCAAATATAAAGAAAGGAATTCTAGATTCTGCTCCTGAAGCAACTGTAAGTATGAAAGCTGAGTTTATCTGCTCAATTTCTCAATGTAGTTTGACAGCAATTTTCATGAGAGTATTTTTCATGTAAAAGCTCAGTCATGTCCCAGTCATCTGAGTCCCATTTAAAACATAGATTAAATAGAATTGAAACTTAACACGCTAGGCTTATAATGTCCTTTACTACTTTCACTTCCGATACCTGAAGATAAAGTTAACTGTTTTTGTTTTGAATGAGACCTGAATGTACATAAACATTTTAGCTTGACTATAAAGTCTCATACTTTTCCGTGTTTGTTACATTTTTCTCACTGTTTGTTTTCATTTTACTGTAAGTTTAGTTTCTTTCGTAAAAATCTTATATGAAAATTTGGTTTCTTTTGGACTTTAAATGAGGATGCATTCTATACCAAGTACCTTTTCATCTTACTATGTTACTATGGTTACAGGCTGACTATTCATTACAATATAAAGCTGGTGTAGCACCCCTACGTAAAGGCAGGAAATGGTCTGAATACCAGAAAGAATTCGATTGGAAAAACAGAGTTGAATCCTCACCACTGATAGCTGCTGATCAGGTAAATAAATGAAAACTATAGACCAAAACCTAGAGAAATTCCTCCTTGCTTTCAAATGTTTTAACAAAAAAAAATTTTGCCATTCATTTTTAGAACCAGAATCCTTTTAAAAGCTAAAAGTCTGTTCACGCATGATTTAAGATGTTTTTGATATTTTATAACCTAACATATGTATTTGATACCTTGATTAAGAATTTCATAAGTCTATAGTGTTTGGACATCGGCTACGTATTATATTATACTTAATGTCCTGCAGAGTCTTGTGACTCTCAGACATTTGAGCTACACTGCCGTACATGGCCGCAAAATCGAGCCAAATCAACAGCCCTGCTACAAATAGTTTGTAGCATGAAACTTAACTAAGCAAAATTTTAATATTTCAGGTTGTACATAAAAGTAATACAGTTCTAGTGGCACCAAAACAAATACCTAAACCCAGGGCTAGTGAGTATAAATCTCAATTTAAAGCATGGAAAGTTAAACCAGTACCTGTAGGAAGAAAAGATGTTAATGAAGAACCTGAAATTAAGAAAGCTAAGGTAAGAAATGATCCTAAATTGGCTTCATCTCACCCATCAAGAACCTTAACCTTTTCTTAATTGTAATGGAACTTTTTGCTGTTTATATCTAGTGATTATTAACTGGTATTGTTTTATTTTGTAGATAAAAAGAAATAAAAGTATGGGAGGTATGTTGATATTTATTCACAAAAATTGGTTCCCATTCACAGTTATCTGCTATAGCTAATTTACTAAAAATCCCCCAAAAAATGCCTTAACTTTTAAAGCTGAAATTATAACAAATATCAAGATTGACTATTAAATGTTTCAAAAGTTGAAACAAACGTCATATAAAGTTTTGCTTGTTGGACACAAATCTGGCCTAGACCAGTGATTCTTTAGGAAAGTATCTCCTATAAAACTTAATACAATTCCAGTGTCTATGATTGACATGACTGACACAAGTGACTGAAATGATTGACTGTATACTTCATGTTGTTTTTATAGCTATTGATAGAAAAGTTCAAGTTGATAAAGAAAATATAGAGGCTGGGGAAGTTATCAAATCTACTCATGGAAAACTCAGGTTAGATTCAATATACACCTTTTACTAATGTTTAAAATTCTTTAAGGACCACAGTTTAGAAATTTTATTTTAGTAAACCTTTGGAAATACATTGTATTACTTGAAAATATTGCTATTGTTAATTATTCGTATCGAGATACAAGGGTTACGCTATGATATGATTTATAACTGTGATATTTGGTAATGTAGTTGATAGGAGTGGTTAATGTCCACTGTCTTATAGTTTCAAACAATTTGAGTCATGTCAGTGAGAACAATTTGATTCTATTGACGTAAATATGAAAACCCTCACTTTTCTAAGGAATGAAAGGTTTCAACCTTTGATTCATTGATATATTATGTCAGCACTACTTAACATAACATGAAACATTATGGTTATCTATTATATCTATAAGTAAATTACTTTCTATTTAGAAAACGAGAATCAGAATATGATGCTAATTTTAAGGCACCACAAGAGTTCCAGTATATGAATGGAGCCTGGCATGGTGCCAACCCTCCACAACTTTATACTTCTATCAAGGTATGCATAATACAAAATTTATTTTTTGTTGTAATTTTTTATGCCGGTCAAAAGGGGCTGTCATGGAAAAAGTATCTTGTGGTTGGGATGGGACAATAAAACAAGGCCCTGTGTGTTACATGTTTTGGTTGTAATATATCTCTCACTGTTGAAAATTGTAAAACTCCCATTATCTTGGCAAAAATTGCCCTCATTGAACAGAGCATGGCATTGCCCGTCTGCATTAGCATAATCAGGGGTACAAAAATCCAATATTCTCATTTAGTTTCTTCAATCCAATATTCTCATTTAGTTTTTCTTCAATCCAATATTCTCATTTAGTTTTTCTTCAATCCAATATTCTCATTTAGTTTTTCTTCAATCCAATATTCTCATTTAGTTTTTCTTCAATCCAATATTCTCATTTAGTTTTTCTTCAATCCAATATTTTCATTTAGTTTTTCTTCAATCCAATATTCTCATT